AAACCTTAGATATTTCCCTTTCATTTGATATAATTTTTTTTGAAAATCTAACACTTATTCTGTTCACTGGGGGGATTTAAAATAGTAACTTTTTTACAAAAATGAACTTTTTCAACTTAATTTTTGAAAATGTTCCGGAAATACTGCGTCCTTCAAACATATATAAAATTAAAGCTTATTTTATGTACTACAAAATGAAAAAAAAAAATTTGTCCCGACACCTTATCTTTTATACGCAAATGGCTGCCGTATTCAAAAATATGCTATTTTTGTATTCAAATTATGGGTTTTGTATTTTATTTTAATNTACAGATACAGTAATAAATCGAAATTATACAATTTGCTATCTATCTATTTTTTTGGTACAAAAGTCTATAACTTTTTAAAATTTACTCTTTCTTTACCAACAATATCAATTTTTAAGAGAATTACTTCTAAAATCAAATGAATCCTGGTTTAAATTACTCTCTTTTTACCTTCATATCTCATAAAACTAAAAAAATTTTGGTCTAAAATATATAAATGCTTACCATATGTTGATGAAAAGTCTCTAAAAACATTTTTTTATTATCTTATTGAATGATATGAAAGGTATTATTAGTACCAATTATCCCAAATAATATGAACCAGCAAAGTATACAATAATTTTAATGTATATTGGAAACAGCTAATTGTACATTTTATTGTATCAAGTCAAGTTCTTGTACAGGCAATGATCTGTAAGACATTTTTTCAACAATTTTAAAAGTTCAAACCACTAATTTTGAATTAAAAGCTTCAGTTACAGATATAAGTTCCTATTTCATTGGCTTAAATAACAACATGAATATTTCTCCATAATTTAAGATTAATGGCAAAAATTATGTTTTTATTTGCAACTCGCCTCATTTATTGTCAACTACACGACATGTGTTTTCAGCATATTTCCCAAATTTGTCATAATTCAATAGAAAAAAACACTTAATTTCTTTCTATCTTGATAATAACAATAATAACTGAAGATTTGCTTCTAAATTAACAAATATTCATATATATCAAAATAATTTTGGAATGCGTATGTAGCTTGCGGCACAAGTTTTTAGTGCTACTATTGTTCCTGCTATGAAAACGTATCTGAAATTAAACAAATAATAAGCAGCAAGGAGATTTAACCAATTACCGCTTACAATTCAAAATGTTAATATTTTATAGCTAAGAGAGCTAATTGATTTCATTTAATCTGTGATAAAATGGAATTTATCACACAATTTAATTTATTACTTTTTTAAGTGATAAAAACGGGAGGGCTCAAACTACAGAATAAATAAGATCTTATCTTTTCCTTGCTTTAACGACCAAATATTTGTCTCTTCCAACGTATATGATAAGAATTAATCTTAAAACTAAAATTTGCTTTTAAATTTCTAAAATGTTGTCAACTCTTGTCAAAGAACACCAAATTAAACAAGCTGAAAGAAAAGAAATTCAGGGTATTTGTTTTTCTTGGATATTCATCATATGTTTAAAACTCTCTTAATATTGTATTTATTTTAGAAATTAAGCGAAAAGAAGCAGTAAATGCAGCCAAAGATCTAACAAATGCTTTAGTTGAACATCTAAATGTTGGGTAATAGAAATATTAAAGTTATAACTGTATTGTAATATTAGGAACACATTCATGTTTAATTATTTTAGTGTCGCCCAAGCATATTTAAATCAAAAAAAGTTGGATGCGGAAGCTAAACAGTTACATCAAAGTGCCATTTTATTTTCAAAACAGACTTCCCAATGGCTAACATTAATTGACAGTTTTAATAGTGCTCTTAAAGAATTAGGAGATGTTGAAAATTGGACAAGAACTATAGAAAATGATATGCACAATATAACTACTACTTTGGAATATGCTTACAAAGGTATAAATATAAAAATGTTCTAAAAAAAAAAAACAACTGTTTGCACAACACATAACCAGTGTTTTCTGTTTTTAGTGACTCAAAAAAATCGAAAAGAACATTGATGAAATTTATCCAACTTATAAAAAGTACATTAAGTTAATTTATTTAGTTAAACTTTTAATTCTCAGAATGTTAAGGACTCTACTTTTATGAAAAAAATGTTGTTTATATTTAGCATTATTATTAAAATAAAAATATTTTTTCTATCATTAAACTATCTAATTCATTCAATATTCTTCATAATCATTTCAAAAGTATAAAAAAAGCAATGCATTCATAGTTTTTATGGATAAAGGTACGAGTAATTTTTTACAGATTTTCTAAAGTAACATACAATTATTTTTAATCAATGATATGTCATATTTAATTCATTTTAAAGGGAAAAAATTGACTGATACTCTTTAATAAGAATATCAACCAAAAGTAATTAAACTAAAATTTTTTTTTTATTAAAGAATAAACTAAAATAATTATAAAAATAGATAATAATTTAAAAAATAAGTTGATAACTGAAATGTAAGTATCAAGTTATATAGTAATAGGTTTGATGAAAAAATTACCTATATATAATAATTTAAACAACCAGTAATTGCTACTTATTACAGTCACCATTTGTTTTATATTATAACAAATATTCAATTTCAATGTCGGTTTGAAAACAAATTCACTACCAAAAACTTATATTCAATAGTTTATAAAGTGACAATATTTACTAGCTCTGAAGAAAAGACAAGTAGTCAAGTCTTATTTTATTTATAAAATAACAGTGTAGCATTTTGAATTCACTTGCTCAAATAGGAACTTTTCTTTGTTAAAAAGTATTTAAAAATCTATTACTATACTAGAGTTATAACCATAGTTTAAAATTAAAGTTGAAGGTATATTTCAATACACTTTTTATAATCTTGTGCAAAGATACAATTATAACAAAATTTTTGGGAGATATACTTAATTTCTCCCCTTCTTAAAAATTAATATGTATTCTTCATAATTTTTTTGAGATGCTAAAGAATCGGGGGATAAGCCCCTCTAGACTTCAGATTGCACCTGTGATCTTGTGCTCTCAAAATAAATAATATAATGAAGACATAATATAAATATATAATTAAGGTTGTTAAATTTCATTAAAAAAAATTATTGTTAATAATCAACATAAAAGTACATTCTTATTCATAACTAGAATCAAAGAAAAATATTTTAGAAACAAATTAAAAAAACAGTAAATTTTATTCATGGTCCTCATAAAAATGAATTTGTTCATGTTTCTAATTTCTTAAGGATTCAGTTTTTAGCTTCATTCTTACAAAAATAACTCGTTCCTAGGAATTATTTATTAATTTTTTTGAACAAATTCATTCCCAACACTGTAAAATACTATAAAAGCCAAGAAATACATTTATAAAACTTAACTATAAAAAATATTTAGTTTATTGTAGGATTAAAATACATTAATATCTAATATTTAAAAAAATAATTACTTGAAAAACAGTCAAAATAATAAAACTGGCTGGTAGCCATTATTATTTACCACAAATCATTAAATTACATTCATGTAAATCCAAACCTAAGAATTTAAAGACTAAGATTTATGTATAAAATGTAAATAAAGAACAGTATAATATTAAATCATTCAATTAGAACAAAACTATTATAAAGTTAATTATAAATTGACTTTTTACAATTTATGTAATTGTAAAGATCTAATAAGCCATTTTTATGAAACTGAAAGAACAAAGAATAAAAAAATATAATCTAAAAATAACACAACAAATTGTTAGAGATTTTATTCCTTTTGATTTTGCAATAACATTTCCAATCTCATTGAAATAACACAACTTTTCAAAACCCTTTTACCTAATTAGTAATTATCATAATATATTTAATGATGTACAATTAATTAACTTATAATATGACTAGGCAAAATTAAGTAAAATAAATGAAAACTAATAATTAAGTATAATATATGTACAGTTTAACTTGTTGCTCTCTTGATAAAAATAAACTCCATTATATTGTGTCATGATAAATAGTTTACAAATAATTTTACTATTATCAATATATACAAATTATTTTACAACCATATGCTCATTTTAAATAAAATTATAAGCATTTAAAATAAACTTTTAAATTAAACCAATATACAAAAAATAGTCAATTTGGTTAACATTAATTAAAAAAAAAAAAAAAAAAAAAAAAATTCAACATAACAAGTGCATAAATATTATCACAAAGTTATGGAATAAAACTTTTTTTTTTTAGTTTTAAAACTATACATAGTTACAGTAATACATATAAATATTATAATTATGATTTGTAAGAAATTAATTATATCAATTGCTAGTTCATATTTTATAAAAAAAAATTATTTTCTTTATATATTTCATCAATATAAATACTTTAATATTTATCACAATTATTCCTTTGGTTTATAAATTGAAAAAATATTGTACTAGTTCACTATGAAAAAATATAATTTCTTTCAATTATAAAAATATGTTAAATCAAGTCACTGTTAACTAAACTTAAATACCTAATAATAAGAAGTTTCAAACCAATCAAAATCCTGCAAATACTTGAGCAATTTTAGTCATACTTTTCAATAACCAGGAGGTTTTGGAGCTTGATGTTTTGCAACTAAAAAATAATTTACTTTATAATCATATTATTTTTATTGTAACATCAAAATCAGGGTGGATTATGACTATATGGGTCTTCCTAAAGAAAATATAGCTACCACAAGTGAAGGAAAAAAAAAATAGAAAAATTATGTCACTATAGTTCTGTTAATTTTACTAGTAAAATTCAAAATGGGCTCCTTAAAATTGTTGGGTGCAGGGTGTTTGCCTCCCCTCCTTTAATCTAGACCTGATCAAAATACTTTAAACTTACCGACTAGTCTACTATTATATATTTTATCAACCCTTCGGAAAATGGGAGGTGGTGGAATTCTGTTTATAGGCTTAAACATAGAGGTAAATCTAGCTTCCATTTCCTCTGTAATGTAAAATAATTGTTATAACATTTAATATTATATTTTACTATATTACAGCATTATTTATAAAAAATTACCTAATAATGTTAAACTCAAAACAGATGTAGGTCCATTTCGCATGGATGAATGACGTGTAGGAGGTGTTGGTGGTACTCCATTGTTCAGCTATAAATCAATTCATTAATTAAAAGTTCTATTTCAAATATATAAATATAGTTCTTACATTATTTTGAATATTTTTATGTGGTGGCACATTTGGAGGTGGTGGAACATTACGATGAGGAGGAGGTGGAGGAGCACATGCTGGGGGATTTAATGGTGTTTTTATTGGAGGCGGTGGAGGTCTTGTGCTAGGATGCTTAATAGGCCTTAATGTTCGAGAACCCCATTGAGGATTAGGGAGTGTTGTTAATGTTGTTCTTAAAATACTATCTTGTGATTGATGAAATGCAGGCAACTGATTTTTATTGCTAATAGTATAGTTGTTGAATTGAGGTGCTAAAAAAATCAATTAAAATCTCTAATAAATAAGTTATTAATAATTGATAAATAAATAAAAAATGTATGATTAATTTATTTAACATACGTTGATTATTAGGAGCAGCTGGTGGTGTTCTTGGAATTCTCATACTTTGTGCACGAGAAACTAAATTACGACCATCACCTGCTGCTAAATTGTTAGAACTAACTGTCAAGTTTGATTTTTTAACTGGTACAGTTGGTTTATTTGGAGGTTTGGGGGCTACATTAGGTTTACCATAACCTCCAGGTGGGGGACCTTTGCCAGAAGCATTTTCTGGTATTAGACTTGGAACACTACCAGTTCTGTTGTGTCCAACGCCAGCTGGTATAATAGATACTGGCTCAGAAGCACTCTAAAAAAAATTATCATGATATTAAATAAAATGGTAAATTACAAGTTTATATTATTAATATTACAAAAGGAATGTTTGATTTTTGATTATAAGATGATGGTGGCTGGGGTGGTGGACCTCTTGCCTTAATATCATTTTGACTTTTTCTTAAAGTATCCTGTTTCTAAAAAACATTAATTCATTAGAATTAGAACAAATTAAATAAAAATTATTAAGCTATTTACGTTTTTCAATGGGAGAGTATTTGTGTTTAATGGTGATTTATTCATAGAAGTTTGATTAAATAATGCAGTTGGTGTAATATTGCTTGTTGCCTGAGATTTTGTGGCTAAAACGTCAAACACTAATTAAAACTTTATAATAGACTTTTCTAAAAGTTGACCAAATGCCTATACAAAATTCAAAAACTAGTATTCTTTGAAAAACTAGTATTCTTTGAAAAACTAGTATTCTTTGAAAAACTAGTATTCTTTGAAAAACTAGTATTCTTTGAAAAACTAGTATTCAATGAACATCATAAAAATTAGTAAATATTATTATTAGACTAAAATAGAATAAATTACTTATAAAAAAAATCTAAGCTTTATAATATTTTCATACACAGACGTTTCACGATAGTCCCTAAAAAATTTAATAGCCTTCTAATTAGAAAATTTTGTAGCATCATTATTATAATTATACTTATGTATTACATATTAATATTAATTACATACAAATATGTAAGCTATATGTCACTTTTGCCACTTAACACTGAATTTACTAAAAACTGACATAAGTAGATAAGCTTTTAATAAAGAGAGATATTTATAATACAACTAACTATTATCACTTTTTTCAAGTTAAAAACTTTTAAGTACAATAATATTCACTACTTTTTGAATTTTTTTATTGAAATATAAATTGTCTTTTACTTCATAAAACTGAGAAAAATTTAACTGTAAAACATTGATAAAAAATGTTTTTAATGATTACTTAAATATGTATAACATTATATGGCATACTTTATATGTGCTAAGATAATCAATAGAATTTTCATACATAAAAATTATAATGATTATTTATTTAAATATTAATTACCCTTCTACCCCTCCAATTATAATATTGGTTAATAATTATAATATTACACATTTACATGTAAAAAAATACTAGTTTTTCTGATTAATTAATACAAATTAGTACTGGCTGATAGTGTTTGGATTAACTTCACAAAATTCATAAATGCATATAATATACAAACTTTATTAAGTTTTTTTTAATTAACATAAATACATCATATGGTAATATTTACAAAATAATAACTTATCTTATAATAAAGAAAAAATATTTTCTACTATCTTACTTGGTTTAAGCTTAGGCATTCCTCCAGCGAATAGCTCTGCTAATCCATTGGGAGTTCGAGCCGCAATGCCAGAAACTGTTTCTTCTGTTTTAGTTGAGCCATTACATGATGTAGGAGTTTTTGGAGAATCTAATATAATATAAAAAATTAAGACAAGTTAATAAATATACTCCAAATGAAACTAATAAATTTAAACATAGAACAATAAATAAATGTATCTAGGTAAATAATCAGAGAATTAGATCAACATATGGTAATACACTTACTACTGATAAGTGGTTTACTCTTGTCAACGGTAACAGTTTTTTTTAAAGTTTTGCCCTGTCTAATTGATTGTAATAATTGATCCCTGGCTTGACCTGAGTTTCCTTTCTTGCCTCCACTGCCAAAGGCTGGAAGGCCAATTGGTGGCGGTAACGGAGGACCAGAAGATGGAGCAGGTGGTGGAGGTGGTGGAGGGAATGGCATGTTAGTAGCAATTCAGTTAAGTCGATTGATCACACATTCGGGTAATAGAGTAGTCAATTAGTCAATTTGAAAATGAATATTCATCGACTATAAGGTTTTTAGTTAAAATAGGGCGCGGCGTCGACGACAAGTGGGTATGGTGTGACACAATACACAATGTAGGACCCAGTCAATGTCAGAAAAATGACTCACAAAATGAGGGGGCCATGTACTCAGGCGTTGACGACGGATAAGCAGAAATCGCGTTGACGATGACGAAACTCGATTGGCCAAATTGGAACGTTAGGAAGCTTAGTGGCCGGAAACGTTATCACTACTTGTGTCTTCGTTGGCCATTCTTATCCGGAAGATTGGCTGTTGCTTACGCTATTATCAACTAGTACGTATTATCGTCGTTTATCAATTACTTTAACAAAAACATTATTAATAATAAAAACAACAGAACAAAAATCAGGATAACTTTAATTAAATTAAACTGCGCCTGATTGTTATTTTAAAAATTAAAATTTATTTAAAAATACTTATACATGTAACATTTTTATGTGTATGTAATAAATTAGATATATCTTACTGTATCATCTTGTGTCAGAGAACACTTCATTACAAAAGTTATAACATGACGCATGTGTGGATAGTGGGGAAGTGCACCAAATGATAAAAATATGAGGAAATGTAGCGAACATATGATGATAGATGAGAGGATAGAGGGGCAATATGGCGGCCTCAGCAAGGCCATCTCTACGTGTGGGACTTGTGATTCCACAGATGACGATTTGCGTGGCGGCTTTTTACAAAATTAAACATGTGCCTAAGAACTCCAACATAGATAATAAATAAATAGTTTTTAAATTAATTTTTACATTTACTAAAACGTAGTGATATTTAATTACCGGAGAATTTATTTTTACGCTTTTTTCAAACGGATTATATACTGTGACATATTTTCAAACAGATATTGTCGAGTTGTTGGAAATTTTTCTTATTTTACCCATATCCTGGAAATGTATAGTGATCATCATAATAATTTTATACTATATTCCCCCTAAAAAATTTCTAAGTTAAGTAATCGGTATATTTTTTTAATTGAGTTTTTGGTTTTTATCCAAGAACGCTCCAAAAATACGCCATTGTTTATGTGTAAAACCTAAATAATATTAAAATATCAATTACACTATATAATTTATAACTATTAGCATTTATTATTTTTTATATATTATAATATGTATTTTTGTATAATAAAAGTAAAATTAATTTTAGTAAATTGTCAGTATTTTATTCTAAACACAATCTAATTATGTTTCTTTAAAGTAACTTTATTATTTTTTAATAATTAATAGTTTAACGAAGGGTAGGATTAATATTTTTAAATCTATATTTCTTTTATTTTAAACTTCACACCCACTCCATTCTCGAAATCAATTTATGTTACAGCATTTGCACTAGCAATACTATTGTTGAAAATTAATTTCATAACACGTAAGTTTAACTCAGAGGAGGTTTACTCTACAAGTGTTGTTATCTATTTTTATTCTATATAAAATTGATTTATTTTCATTTTCAATTCTTACGTATAATAATTATATTTGAAAATTATAATTTTGTCGTTTAAATAATAAAGTTTTTCATTAGCTGAAAATAAACTAATGCTTTACAAAATTAGAAATTTATTAGATAAATAATTTTTATTTTCTATTAAAACAATTTTTGTTAAAAACCGGTCTATCCTAATTAAATGAATATTAGCAGTTTAGCATGTTGCTACAATAAGGGATAACAGTTTATTCCTCGTAAAGATTATATTTACCCCATGCACACTACTAGAATACAGTATAAAAGGCTAATTTCGATATATAATTCTTAAAAATAATGAAATTTAAAATCTTCAAAATGAAACAATTAATTTAAATAACTTCAAAGATATTCGCAAAGTGAAAAATTGAAGGAGAGAAAAAGCAATTATAATTATCATATAATTTAAAACATTATATATATGCGTACAAATATGTAAGCACTTTAAAACTTAAAAAAATTGGTATTTAATTAAATTTGTTGTCCACTTTTTCGTGAGACCGAAAATGTATTTAGATTTAAAAATAGTAATATTTTTGATTATTTGATAAACAATAATTTTACATATTTTTTGTTGAATTATGACTATTAGTACTCACACTTCGTTCGTAAATCATAATTTTATCCAACACCAATCATTGTTTTCATCATTAGTGCAGCAAAATTTGTATAAAAATCTGATAAAAATTAAAAACCAAAATTTATTACGGTAAAATAAAAAATATCTATCAGAATTCATTGATAATGTATTTTTTATTATTATTAAGCATGAAATTAGTATCATTAGCAGAAATTTATTTCATGGTAAGTGTTAGGATTTTAAACAATTTTTATGACCTGAAAACATATTAACAATAAATTAATGTTATGTCATGTTTTTTATCTCATCAAAATTTCTTTATTTTGTATCGCTCTTAAGGAAAATTCGAGCAGAAATTAAGAGATTTCCGATTAATAAAGAGTTTGTTGAATCAAAGATTCACTATATATTGCCAAAACTGTAGGCCACAGATCGAAATTAATGTTTAATAATAAACAAACAATAATACAGACTTCATCCAAGATAGTAAACTAATAAAAATGTTAAAAACAAAATAACATGAAGTGTAACTCATATGAAAAACAAAATATTCGAATTCAAATGACTTCGAATTAAAAAATAAAATAAATAAATAAATATCTTATCTTTTATCGAAATGTGGTCTTCATAGGCGAAATTCGGATGAGGATCGGTAGACTAACCCACCTAATTACATTGCAACATATTTAAAAATTGTGAAAGCAACATATAACAATTATATAAAAGAAGAAAAAAACTAATACCACACAAATATTTTATTCGAATTGTGAATTTGGTGCACTACAGACTGCCAAAACTGTAAGACCACAGTCTTACAGCTAGTACGATACCATATTTGATGATAAATAATCATTGTTTATAATATACATTTATAAACCAATCCCAACCCACTTATCCTCAATAAATACATATGGACCTCTGCTACTTCTACGGGTACTAAAAATAAAAATTTAAATGACACCCCTAGTATTCTGTAAGGAACAATTAAATATAATTCAGTTTTATAAAAGTATCTCAAATCGTACTATTAGGTAAAAAAACTTTTATATAAGAAAAAAATCAATTTTGATTTTTATTAAATTTAAAATTCTTTAGGTGACCTGAAGTTTATTTGAATCAAAATTGCATCACTTATAGTTTTTCAAACCTTAATCAATTTTCCTTTAAAAAGGAAGATTGAAAATTCAAAGCAAAGATAGCATGATTCTTAATTTATATTAAGTTTTGTGTTACGAATATAAACAATGTATTTATTAAGCAGTACACATTAAGAATAATTATTTTCAAGAATTTTAAGACTAAAATTTAATTAAGTTGTATTTAAATTAAGTATTTTTAAAACTTCAAGTATTGTAAATCATAATTGATTAATAATTTTTGTCATTTAAATAGAAATTATTTATAAAAAATATATCTGAAAATAACACTAGACACATTTTTCTGAGTTCAAAACGTTTGTATTTAATGCTACCCAAGAATTTTTGTTAAGAAAAAAATATTTTTTCTAGCTTACCCTGAATAATATTTCTAGGTATCCCACTGCTAACAACCCTTAGATAACTTGCTATTAAAAAACTTGGAATATACATAAACGTAAGAATATAAATTATAAATAACATTACACACATTTTAACTAGAGTTCTATTAGGGTTATTTGCTAAGACACCCTCAAAAATCTTAGAGGCGCCCTGGATCAACAGTCTAAATAGCCCATTATATAGGCATACCACTGAAAATAAGTATTTTCTTTAAACTCAATATTATAAATATTATTGAAACAAAAAAAACCATTAAGTGGCTAAATTTATAATGCCTCTCCTTAAAAAAATAATTATCGAGAACAAATAAAATTATTTTACAGATATTTCAAGTGACTAAACTTTTATTGTGTGAATTTATAGCTTGACACTTAAGTTAAAACATTATACACGACTTTAGCTATAAAATGAATATAATAAAAAACCAATTTACAAATAAAAACAACTACAATAATATTAAAAAACAATTAGAAATATCAAGATAATAAATCGTTAAATTATAGAATCTGTATTTAAAAGCAATAACAAGCAAGAATGAATGATATAAATACTTTATAAATTGAGAATTAATATGTAGAGAGAGAGTGTGTATATTATGCATTTCAAAAAAATTAGTTAATGAGACTGTTTTGATGAAAGGTAGGGACAAGTCAAGTCACAAACCATTATAAAATCTTTTTTATTTATAAAATCTGGAAAAGGAGAAGAGTTAAAAGAAAGTAGGTTGGAAGAAGATTATGGCAAAAGAAAGCTAAGCTTATTGCTTTATATACAATAATATATTTCAATCTATCATAACTCCATAAAATTTTTGTACAAAAATCAGATTTATATTTTAATCATTAATGGTAATTGACCGTAGCAAAAATATTTTTTAACTGTAAACAAATTAAATTTTTTAATTTAATTTAAAGGAGACCAATAAAATGATATTCTAATAAAAAACAGAAATAATTAAATTCCTCATACACATTGTATAATTGTCATTAAACAAATTGAAAATAAAGTTTCATGTAAATACATATATAACCGGACTAACTACCCATCCCGTAGTATAAATTGTTAAGAAACCTCTTCCTTTGGGGGAGGCCACAATAGCCCTTAATGGGCTGATAAAGCAATAATATATATATATTAGTAAACTTATAATTTCTAGAAGCAATCTATTGTTTTATGTTTAAATGTTCATCCCAAAGAATAAAAAAGTTAAGGAATTTCAGTTTGTCAATAAAGTATATGAAAGAAACAAAAAAAGTCTTTCATTCACCATTTAAGCTTACAAAAAAAATTTAGTTGTTCAACATTATGACATATATAATATAATTGTATTGATAATTTATAATAGAATATAGATAGTAAAAATCAAAAAAATGATAAAACATCTTTTCAATAGAATTTAATAAAAAATCAATTTAAAATTCTATCTTGGACACATGACATGTCTTCCACCATCAACTAAAAGTGTATTACCAGTTGAAAAACTAGAATCATCACTTGCTAAAAACGCAATTGCTTTAGCAACTTCTTCTGGTGTTCCTGGTCTACCCAATGCATGAGTATCTTTTGTTCTTTCAAGAAACTTGACGTAGTCTTCCTCACTCATGCCATTTCTTTTTAAAATTTCTGTTATGACAACTCCTGGATTAACACTATTAACTCTCACACCTTTAGGTGCTAATTCCAGCGCTACACATTTAGTAAATTGATCTAAAGCTGACTTAGACATACAATATGCTAAAACATTAGGAAAAGAACGCACTCCATTAACACTTGATACATTAACTATATTGCCTTTTGATTTAATTAAGTATGGTATAGCAAGCATGGTCAAATGATAAATTGAGCGAACATTAGTATTCATAATTCGATCATACTGTTCCAATGAAGTAGTTTCTATAGATCCTGTTTCCAATATTCCTGCATTGTTAATTAGAACATCAAGGCTTTTATAATGGGCTATAGTTGAATCAAATATGTGTTTTGTATCTAACTCTTGAGTTAAGTCACCAGAAACTATAAATGGTTTGTTAGAACTTATACTCTCACATCGGTCTGCGATAGTTTGTAAATTAGCAGTATTTCTACCTGTAAGTGCAAGCTTAGCTCCCAATTTTGAAAAGTATAATGCTGTAGCTGCTCCAATCCCAGAACTAGCACCAGTTATTAAAACTATTTTGCTTTGTAGACTCATTTTTGGGAAATTTAGTATACTTATTAACCAGCACACAATAACAAATAAATAAAATACCTGTTAAATAAATTAGTCCCAAGACTAACAAGATATCTATCGAGTAAGCTTATTACTTTAATTAAAGCTTATTTTAACAGCGTAATTACAACAAGTTGATGATTTACTTATCAAATATTTAGGTTTACAACTGCACAACACACACATTTATTCCCGCCTTTTTTACAAATATTTACCTTATCATTATACATCTTACACATATGTGAGTAATAATGTATCTTCTTCAATATTTTTAAATTATTATTTTAATTTAGTCTTAATATAATTTTAAAATTTTAACTTCTCTAAGTATTTCACCTAAATTCATAAGTAAAATTTATTTTTATAAAAATTATTCTACCGTTATGTCTCAGAGCAACAAGTATGTTAATTTTATTTTGAAGTAGTTAAATATATTTTAATTTTTTTTTTTTAGCTTTTATGAAAGAACTATCGAAGATGTCAAAAAAGTTATAGCTCATGCTAAACTTTCTGAAGATGACCTCAAGCCTAATGTTCAACCAATATATTTTGATGAGCAATTTGATAACTATAAATTATTGGAATTGGATGAAGAAATATTATCAAACCTTAAAAGTGGCCAAACGTAAGTAGCTATTGTGTTTACTAATTTCTAGTTGATATTGTTATAAGAAATGTCTAAAAGTTGACCGTTTTTAAATTAGTGTAGTGTTCAAAGGGGACAAGGATGAACCTGCAGTGTTATGTACAGAAACCAAAACATTTGATGTAAAAGAAGCAGAAACTTCAAATGCTATTTTGTTATTACCCAATTTAACTTTTCCCAGTGAAAATAGCGATGAAAAACTAATAAAAAGAAAAGTAACTCTTTTTAAATTAGATTTTTATGCTATACTAGCTATGTAAAGCTTGGTATGTGGTTTAGGAATTTAGTGTTTAATTTATTTATTATTTAATTTATATAATTAATCATTTAATATATTGAATTTTAATATATAATATTATTTTATTACATATTTAATTTATAGAAGTTATAGTATGGTAGTTTTTAACAGAAAAAAAGCTAGATACATTTAATAATTGGCAACAGTACATTAAGTAAAAACTTTATAATTTTGGTTAATACTCATATTTTTTAACTATAATGGATTAAAATATAATAATTAAAAAGTATTGGATAAAAATTAGAGTTAATTTCTTTTAGAGTGTGGTTCAAGGGTTTATCATGAAATAATATAAGCATTAACTATGAGTAAATTTAAATTTCTGAGTTTAATATTTTTTAATTTTAAATTAATAATATTTTTAATATAGATTTAATTTTGAAATGTTACCTTGTAAATATCCGATTTTTAATTCATAATTTCAGCATATAAAAATTTGACAATGATGATTATGTTTTTTACATGATTTTTAAGCATGTGATTAGAATAGGCGTTCTATAAAAGATATCTCTGCATTTTATAATAATTTGTATACCTAAAAATCATCATTGTCTGTTTCTTATGTGGTTATTTTTATTGACATAAGTATAATATATATAAATTATTATAGTTGAAAAATAAGCAAATCACTTTAACATTTTACATAATATTAATACAACATATATACTTAAGAGTAAGATTTACATATTGTGTTTGTTTATTAGGATAAGAATAAGAAGTAACTGACAAGCATAATTTGTGGGTATCTTCTTAGTAAAAAAAGATTTTAAAAGTGACTAATATTATTGACATAGACGAATTTATTATTGATATAATACTAAAACATGTGCAATACAATATTAGTAAATAATATTTCTTTATTAAATTTTTCTCCAAATAATCTACTTAAATTACAGGATAATAATCTTATTTCATGATATTGAAAAGTATATTACAACACACGCCCCAATTTTTTTAACTGTTGTATCCCCACAACTGATGTTTATTGTCGGATCATTTTATGAATTTAAAAGAAGACAAAATTTATTGTATCACGGTTTTGCACAATTGCACAATTTTTTATTAATATAAGTATGTATAATGCATTGTGTATATTATTAGTAAAAGTAAATATGATTTATCTTATGCTTAAAATAATAACGAAAAACGATATGAGTTAATTAATAAGTTGTCTGTTGTTTATATTTAATTTTTATATATAAATATTTTGATCTAAAAAAAATTTGATAAACTAACATACTAAAAAAACTTATAAAAGCTCACAAATAGTTTTTGATATTAACAAATAATTTTCCTGTGATCAAATTAATTTCAAATTTAAAGCTTGTTAAGTAAATTTGTAGCATTGACAAATTTAACTTGTTTTATTGTATAATAATAAAAAAAAATTTTTAATGAATGTGTTATATTATTCTTTTTTAGATCATTGGAATATTCCATACATATTTTGAAGTTCGACTCTGTAAGCCACGATTAAAAAAGTTAATACATATTTTGAACAAATCGAGTTATAAAGGATCGGAACATGAAACTGAAATTTCCGAAACATGTGAATTATATACTTTTAAAAAACTATCAACAATAGTACAAGCTAGTGATGATGAACTGAGAGAAGCTTTAAAAGAAATCGGTGCATTTCAAATAAATGGTATTTAAAACAGAATAATTTTTTTTTTGAGAATTTGTTTATTTATTTTTTACAAATAAAAATTCAAAGGATTTTTATTAATTTAGATTATTGGAGAATATTAGAATTTGATTATGAAGCTAGAGCATTATCTTTCTTATTAAATTTAATTGATGAACAGTCGTGGTCATATAATGCTGTACCAATGGATGAATCAGTAAAAATTCTTAGTGAATTATTACCCTCAGCTATTCTATATCATATAATTGATAAATATAGTATTAAATGTTTATCTACAAATTTAAGTATGAAAGTGAATATGTTTGAATTCATTGAATATTATAACATGACTATTTTTATACTAAAATTATTTTTTCCTGTTACAGATGAAACTCATCGATCTTTAATTGAAGATAAAGTTTGTCGTTTTCTTGCTTCTATGCTACTAAGACCATGTGAAAAATTTAATTTCACTGATTTTCAAGTAGCTTGGCAAGCGAGTGTGCCTGAAGGTAAATTCATGTGTTTAATATACATGTTAAACTTATTTCTAGGCTTTATGTAACTGATCTTAATATCGTCTTTGTTAATATAGAAATGATAATATCAAAAGATTTTTTTATTATCACTTAAATATGATACTTCAAAAAATGAGCAAACAAAATTTTAAACTTATTTAAATGTACTGATTGGCAAAGATATGGACTAAATTATTACAACTATTATTATTTAAGCATTTTTCACTAGGGTAATCCACTCCTATAGCCCTTAAATAAAGCCTTGACTGGCTTTTATCATGTAATTATTATAAAATTTTATGTTGTCAATAAAATTATTGTGAAAAATTACTTACTATAGTAACATACTAGGTTATCGCACCCTAGGAATAAGTCTATCCTTTTTACTCTTTTTTAATTTTGCCCGGCTTTTCCAAGTATCAATTAACAACTCAAAAATTAATTTTTATCTAAAAATATTCATTTGATTAGGGATGATTACGAATCTAAAACAACTAGAAGGTACTGTTTTAATTGATAAATCAAGCCATCCACAAACAATTTGTTATTTCAATGAACAAGATTTACCTGATGACATTTCTGAAAGAGTTCAACATTTATTTCAAATTAAAGAAAAATGGACTCTCGATGAAATTTGCCCTTTTGTTGAGTAATATATTAACTATCAACATTTAAAGTTAATATTTGATTTTATATTGTTAATTTTGTTTATCAGGAAGCTTGCTACGGCCAAAATGAATGTTAACACTTTATTAGCCAAGTATGCTCGTGCAACAAATGTAGATGGTGAAAGATTATATTGTTCAAAACATAGCTCTAAATAAAGTTTAAAAATTGATATAACACTATTTATTTTTTATTTTGTGATATATTTTATTGTTATGTCTTAAAAAATTAAAAATATAAATACTAATAAAAAGTGTATAATGCAACTTCATCACCAATCAGATATACTTTAAATGAATAATATTTATTATATTATCATAGAAGTATTTTTAATATTATTATGACTTTTATGTTTAACTGTCACATTCAACAAGAGTTCTTACTAAAGCTGATATTAACTGAACTAAACAATAAGAAAAAATATTTTAAGTAAAATAAAAACAATTTAAAATCTTGTATTACTTGCAATCGTATGCATATTTTCTTAAAATAAATTTTTAGCTTTTAAAAATTGCTTTCATATTTTAATTGTTCAAAAAAGATCTATTGATTAGAATAGAAAAAGCTCTTTAAAATGATAGTAATATAATACAAATACAAAGATTTAGGAATGACTACCTACACGCCAAGATACAGCTAAGTTGGTTAGATTTATACTTATATTTATTTAATAATAGGCTAGTAAGTAGGATGTCTAGTACTACCAATTATATTAAAATAGATTATATGAATATGTATAAAATCAAAAACATGATAAAGTATTTATTTTTATTTTTTTGGGTTTTGAAGTTTAATTTATATCTTTCATTTGTATAACAAAAAATTAATATAAAAATGGTTATACAAAGCATAACACTAAGAATAACTGTATATAATACAGTATAAAATATACTATTTAAAGACATGTACATTGTAAAAAAGTATAAGAATACTAACAGATTAAAAAGTGTTGATAAAATAATGATTTGTCATTTACTAAAAATTTAATAAGTGAATATAAATTACAAATTATGACAGCCAACAAATTAAATAATTTAAGAAAAAAAAAGAATTACATATATATACAGCATTATAATTAAGTTAATATTTTGTTGATAAATTACTTCTTAGATTAATACTGACAATTACATAAAATCAGTTACTCATTTAACGAAAAATAATATATGTTTGTAAACATTATGTGCATCAGTCTATGGATTTCGGTAAATTATAAAATTATATTAATTAATAATTATACATTAGTCAAAGACTATCATGACGGTTTTCATCATTATTTAATTGTATAAAAATATGTTATTATAACTTAAGTATTTATAATATTTTGTTAAATATAATTCATTCTCAGTATTAATTATTATCAAGATTATTTGTTGTTAAAGGAACAATGTTACATATCAAAGTTTAAATGGATGTCTCTTGTGCCTACGACATGTAGCTGCACAACAAGGATCTGAGCATGACGACCACTTAGGACATTTCTTACGGTCGCATCTAACTTTACCATCCTAAAATAAAATCATATTAGGTTTTCTTTTCTAAAGATAAGTTTTATCAGACCTTAATATTAAATTTCTTTTAATTGAAATAAATACATACTTTGCATTTGCAATTTATACATTTGACTTCACCATGTGAATAAATTTTGGGATGCCATTCCTGGCCATTTTCATAAGGTCCTCCAACCGGATAGCTACAACCACCATTATTTAATACATCTACATCAGATGATCCATTGTCATTGGTGGCTTGTTGATCACCTTGAGTAAGTTGAACAATTGGATTAGGTTTGGTAGTTGACTGGAAAGTAGATGGGCATGCTTTACAACAAGAACGTTTTGTAGGCCTAATAGCAACCCTTTGATCACACTCCAGGACAGGACAATCGGTTCGTTGACACTTAATTTTTAAAGATGTACTCTAATAAAATAAAACCACACTTAATTATATTTATTATATTCATTATTTAATTCAGTTTAACTCACGTTACAATGACATAAAGTACAAGTGTCAAATCCATTTGGTGGTAAATATGGGTGCCAACTACTCCCTGCTTGAAATTGTTGACCAGCTAACCAGCATGAGTTAGTAGAATTTCTTTGGCTTTCCAAAATATTATCTAATAGAAAATAAATTGTTATTATCACTTTTTACCTACATATATTGTGTCTTCGCCTTAATCCCAACTACTTGGGGTTGGCCACCCTTATCCTAAACTTCCTCACTTGACACGATCTACCACATATTTTACACTCACATCAGCCGTCCTCATATCGCATTCAATTACATCCCTCCATCTCTTTTTTGGTCTTCCTCTACATCTTCCTTCAACATTCATTTTTATAACTGTTCATACAGCTTCTGATTCTTCTCTCCTCATAACCATTCATACCTTTCAGCCTCAATAGAATTCTTTTGTCGCATAAGACGCCACCCACACTTAATTTTGTGTCTTACATCCTTGTCAATACCACAGCTCTTTTGCACAACTGACCATAAATACTTAAAACTTTCAACCTCTTCAAACACGTCCTTGTCTATTGTCACTGATCTTCTCATTTCACCTAACTCGTGTTCTCCTTTGTTAAACTCGTACTCTATATACTTTGTCTTACTCCTACTTATTTTTAAACCCTTATCTTCAAAAGCTGATCTCCACACCTCTAGCCTTTGATTAATTTCCTCCCTATTTTCTCTTATTGACACTATATCGTCAGTGAACAACATGCATCACAGCACCTCTCCTTGTATTTCTCTAAGAATTTCATTCATTACTATAAAAAAATAAGTAAGGGCTTAAAGCAGAACATTGGTGCACTCCTATTCTTACCCTAAAATCTACAAATATTGTGTATATCTTAAAATTATTAACCTTCACATGTTGGACAACATGTTCCAGGCTTTGCTGAAGGTACTGCACATTGCACAATTGGACAAATAATCAAATCACATATCACTCTTCCATAATGACAATTACACATGTAGCACTCATCGACAGTTGATGTCCATTGAGCTCCATGTTGATAATACTTTTGTCCATGGTAACAACTTAAAAGTGATGTGTGTTGCTGTTCCGACTCATCGTTGTTCATCAATATATTATTTGAATCATTTTCAATAGAATCTTTGACTATACATACATTGGGTATATTTACCTAAAAATGTAACATTTAAACAAAGAAGAATAATGATATAAGACTTAAAAAGTAAACTAACATGTTTCCATTCAGTTTTTAGAATTGACTGACCAAGTTTTGGATCCCATAAATCAACATGTACTAAATTAATATTTAATCTTAATAATTCTTCTTGACTGAGACCTATAATATAACCTTCAAATATAGGTCCTTCAAATTCTTCAAGAAGTCTTCTAAAAATTGGTGCCCCGTGTACCAGCAATGGTGAATCTTCAATGTAAAGTTCAAACTTTCTGTTTTTAACATTAGGACCAGATAAAATTACCTATGAATCAATTGAAAATACATTTTATTATAGTCTAAAAAATAGTTATAATATGTTTAACATAAGAAAAAAAATATAAGATACTTATAAAATGTGCTAAGATGAATATATACTTAATCATATACATCTTTGAAAAAATAATTACTTTTAAAATGAGAGTATGAGTAACAATTAAACATATTAAAATATATAAACATAAAAAATATAATTTAGTTATAACTAGGAATGCCCACAGAACAATTTTTCGGAGGACGTAAAAATTATTGACAGCAATTTAAGCTTGGAAGTAATTCCCTATACCCCAAAGGGCAAGAGAGGCGTGTTCCTTCCATCGAAATTCATACAATTTAATATTTTATTGAAAATGGTACTTTTAGAAATATTATGAACAAGAAAATAAAAGTCATCAAAATGAGCATGTATTATAAAATTCTATTTGAAATATAAAAAATTGTTCCACTTTCTCACGAAAAAATTTTATATACTTATTTGCTTCACTCCTAATTACGGCATAATATCAATCAATATACCTATTATATAAGATCTCCCTTACTAGAACATTATATCTTTATTGTTATTATTAACTATTTGGAATAAGCCTAGAAATAAACAAACAATACATTTCACTTCCCCTATCCATGACCATACAAATCTAACCTGTCTCCCTCAAATATAGCTTCTAGTTTTTAGAATTCTGTTAGTAACAGTTGCCGTAGAATCTACTTTGTCATTATATTTTTTTGACAAAAACTCAAATGCATATTAATAGATTAGGTAACTAGGATAGGCAAAACATGTTTTAAGTTAGCTCTTTTGTTAGTGATACGAAAAATCTCAGGAAATGCAACGGCACTTCCTGGTGTCCCTGGTTATAAATCAATTATTTCCAGCATATGATAATCCATCGTTTAATAAGTACATATCTAAGAATACTTACTTCATATTGTAGAGTACAATCTGAATCTACCATTGCCCAAAGCAATCCAACCATAGGAGTTTGTTCATCATGACTCGAGAGCAACATCGGAGCGCCAGAGTCTCTCGCGTCGGCAACGGGTCTCCAAGACAACCGACCTCTGAAACCGGACGACACGCTGATAAGGCCGAGATCTTCAGCATACAGTTGTTCCAAATGGACAGGTCCCATAGTGGTAATGGTTCCATTACTCCAATTAAGTACGATGGACTCAGACAAGTCAATGGAAGACACACGAGACTCTGTAGACGCTACACATAAATACATTTGTAGGACAATGATAAGAAGGTTTTTTTAGGTAGCAGGAAAGAAAAACAATCTTGTCGAATCATTAGGGTTGCGAGTTCAATGGAGCGCATAATACGCCAAGTATAGAACACATCTATTTTCGTATAACTTACCAATAGTTAACTCGGAGACTGCATTATTGTTAAATTTAACGCGATACTCCAACGCTCCGTCCTTATTAATAAACATCCAACCAATGCCGCTTGTCCTGCCAAAACGCATTAAAAACAAGAGCATTATTCAAAACGATCGGAACTTCGCCAAATAGCTGTTAATAATGTGTGCGCAGCCGCTAAACGAATAATTTATTTCCCACCGTAATCGCCTAAACATGATGATACTGTATAAATTTATCTCAACCCAAAACACAGTGTACAAAAACAGTAATTATTATAATATACTTTATAAACAACTGGGTGTGAAGTCTATTGGAGCCACGCACACTCTATTTGTCTTGCGGATACACAAATATCATAATCGCCAGTGGTATTTTTACAATATAGCGAAATCAGAACGTCCAAAATGTTTCATTTCAACGGGTATGACTACATTAGTCTTGACATTTTTGTCGTCTCCCGTTCTTAACACATCACGGGAAAAAAAACAAGTGCACTTTTAATCCCTCGAGAAATTAAAAAAAAAAATACAAATACAACGAGACTCGTGCCATCTCATGCTTGAAGTGATGAACCGAGGTCGTTCACACACGTGTCATCTTAAGATTTAATAGCTTTTGCCCTGCGTCGTATTGGTTTGTGACAGGAGCGACTGGTATAATAAATATGAATTTTAGTTTCGCTTTCGTCACAAGACGTTTAAATTTCCCGCCTCGTTCGTTTGCCAAATCAACTACGCTCGTTTACACATTTTATTGCGTACGAATATATGTATTGCACAAAAACACTAAAATGCATAAGATCGTGAACACAGCCACGGACTTCCAGTAACTTTTAGCAGAAAATATAGAGCGCATTAAAAATGTAAACTTTTGAATATTTGTCCGGTCATTTTGATTATAACGTTATGTAGGATAAAAAATTGACCAATATATCAACTCTAAATGATTATTTGATCAGGTTTTGAATCAGAGAAAGGTATGTAGAGCACAAACACCATACAAGTTTTTATCCCTAAGAATAAGTCACGACACTCAAATTTCTCAACTTTAATTACGATTTATGAAAAAAAATTGTTAACTGACCTTCCATTTTTCAAATCCTTCTGATGACTGTTGGACACAACTAGCGTCTGGTATATATCACAAAAAACTCTGGGCTTAACTAAGCCCTGCAACTTTAAACCAGGTTGCTGCTTCGATTCTAAAACAACAACGAGGTCCTTCTTGGATAAAGCATTGAGGTCAGAAAATGCAACCGGCGACCGCACTTCAATGACCATAGATTTGTTGGTTAGTTTTTCCACTTTGATGATCTTTAAAAAGAAATATCAGAAAATAACGCAGCCCTACTCAAGTAGAGTGTATGTTAAAAATTACCTCATCGATGACCGTCCTCTCATCCCCGTTGGCATACTTTAACTTCACCGAAAATGATCCGCTGTCTTGACCGATCACAGCAACGGCGCCACCGTTGAACACGATTTGCATGTGTATAGACGGAGATATGGTCGATATGGAAACAATTGCTGTGCCACCAGTATCTCGAACGTAACCAGTCATCAGCGAACTGAATACTTCCGTGTCCAGTGCCTTAAATCTATCAAAAAACAACGTCGGCATAATGAATGATGGCAATCTACTAGAGAGAACTTGATCAAGAAATTGTTACCAAAATTATGACTAGAAAATCTCTACAAAATCTTCCCAGATAGGGTAAAATATCTTAAAACCCCGTATTTGAAAAAAATGTCGTTTTATAACAAAATTATATTTCTATGTATAAATGCAAGATATTAATTGTCAATATTATAATTAACAATATAGAAAATGTTTAAACTTATTAGACTAACCAGTGGAGTTTTTGCGAAAAACCTTTTTTCTCCATTTTAGAGTATACGCTGATTTGTAAAGGTACACCCTTCAATATAAATAGTACATATGTATTACTTTTCCTGGGTGTACGTTAATTAAAAAAAAGAGTGTCGATAAACACCGTTTACCACCCAAATCACCATTGATTATAACAATGAATCGTATGCATTTATTATTATTTTTTTAACGTTTTAGCAAACTCGCTCGTACTCAGTTTTTGTTAGGAACCTTCAAAAGGCTCTGAGACTGAGACAAGGGTCTATTATTCAAGAGGTTTTAAGGTATGCGATCAGTTGCTCTTATAAATGTAAAATAATAGTTATACGCTACACTTTACCTAAACAACTGACCAACAATAATTGCTGTGTCCCAAACCAGTGATACAGATATTTTTTCTTCGCGTAATAATCGTTTATAGTCTTTAGATACCCGTCGCCAAACTCCACAAATCTTGTCTGTTGCATTTTGATAAATAGTTCCCGACAATAGAGTCTATGTTTAGAAAAATCGAATTTAATAATAAAAATGTAATTTTTTTTTTTAACGTATTACTATTTCTTCTATAATGTTTCCATTGGCATCATTGAACTGCACCAATCTCGGTCTATCAGGCTTATTAGTGTAAAATGAAAAGTATAAATGTTTTCTATAAAAAGAAAAACGACCAGTCGCCACGTGTTCTAACTCTGTTTCTGGTACAAAATTTGAAGGGTAGTCAGACTTTTTAAATTCGACCGATTTACCAGTCAGTACAGCCGCAAAATCTACATAATAAAACATCGTAGTATTAAAATGTCACCTAAACAATGATTAATTAAAATTCATTATAAAAGAGTCTAGTTAAATATAATATTATGCTATATTATTAAAATGTGCTTATACCACTTTTGGTCGCTTTTTTTTTAAATATATTTTTAATAATATTAATATTGGTTGATATTCTTTAAACCTTGTATTAAACAGACTTCAAAATTTGATGTGTTTATTATGTTTGTTAATTTTTCTGAACATTAAATTACTGTTTTTCTTTATAATGTAGTATTTAATATACTAATAATTTTAACTTAATAGTAGAAATTGGAATCAATCATATTTATAAGAGTATATTTTGAATTATATGTAGTTTATTATATAAATAAAACGAATTTATTTAGTGTATCTTACCACGTATTTTAACCACTCAAATTTAAACTAAACTCTAGATAGTATAAAACTACACACTGAGTTTTTATTTTCAAGTGCCTCAAGATACAAGTTGTGTTATCGTTCATACTTATTAAGCACGATAACGTTTTATTTGTACATAAGCTTAACTATCTCAGGAGGTCATAATGATAAATATATTAATTATTAATAAAACAATAAATTGTGATAGGTAAATCATAAACCATACTCACAAAATAAATACAATATTGGAAAAAAATTTGATTCTTTTTATTTACATGTATTTCTTGATTTATCAGCTAATAATGAGTTTTTAGAACCATCCGTTTATAAAACTCAAAGGGATCAACTTTATTTTTTTAAATGGTAACTTACATATTTAGTTAAGTTATTAAATAGAAAATAATCTAATTAAGAAAATTAAGGACTCGTATTTTAGGAGTTATTAAAAATGTTAAGTAATGACTGAAGGTGGTACTGCTATTTTTATCACAAGTCATTTCCCGGTCGTACTCTTCGTCCCGCCTAGATAAAAAATGAGAATAACTTCCGAAGTGCTAGTCCAAAAGTTGTTTTATACCAGTCTTTTTCTTAATTAGTTTATTTTTTATTTTATAAGCTAGTAAATTACCATATAAAAAAATAAAGTTAATACGTCTTTAAGTTGTAAGGGATGATTCTAAAAAGTCATTATTAGCTGATAAATCAAAAAATATATGTAACTAAAAAAGATATCTACAATTTTTTCCAATATTGTATTTATTTTACGAGTAATCGAGTGGTTTATGATAAACCGATTACGCTGCATAATATTCTCTTTTCAATAATTTGTCTAAAAAAAAAAAAACTGATAATACAACTTGATGATAATTATACTAACGTTTTAGACTTTTTTCTTCTTCTTCTGGCGGATCTTGAATAAATTCATCTAAAATAAATTTATAATAGACATTATTAAATAAATAATAAAAAATAATACTTTTAATAAATTCAATATTTATTACTATATATACAATTAGTAAATTGATTGTTAAGTTTTACTGGTTAGAATTTCATATGCTAATATATGTCAAAATTAAATGTATCGATACGAAGAATACAATATTTTAATTAATACAAGTAAATATGTATTTATATACAATTGAACCTTGATGATGGCGGCTCGTCTACAAGTCTATAACTACTGCCAAAGTATTTGCGCACGTTAGACTATTTTTGTCGTCATTTGGAACGTCATAGTATACCGAGTACAAGAGTTTCTATAGTATAGAGTATACAATACATAGACACCATGTGTATTTATGTGTATAACAGAAGAATTATATTCGAGCAGAAAATTCAACACATTATTAATGAATACGTCGAACAAGTAATCAAAATTCTACATTCAGGCTTTATGAGTATTGCTTAAACTTCAAGTAAAACAAAAAAACGAATGTATTTTTTCATTTTTCGTTATTTACTCGTAAAAAACACACCAACTACAATCATACCTATTAATAAAATCAAGAGATGTTTATACAACCAAAAACCAAATAAAAAGAATCCGTGTGAGCTCAACAAATATTTATTTTATCTTCCTCGTATAAATTACGTGTTAAATAATTCATGTTGTTTCATTAAAATATAAAAATAACAAATATAAATCTAATAAATCTCTGAAATTTGAATTGTGTAGCATATTTATGTTTGTTTTCATTTTGAATAAAGCTCTTTCACCTCGTTATATTATTTATATATCCATTCTAATATATACAAATGTTATTAAAATCATAATTGGCAAAAACTATAAAAATCATTCTAGTTTTAGGATTTCAAGGCATATATTATTACAAATTAAATGAAATTAAAAATGTCATTGTGTTAACATAATATTCAGCGAGCGAACAGTTTATAAGATTGCGCGTGAATTATAAATACAAAATGATGCCAAAATAAAAAAGAATAATTTGATTTTTATAAATGAGATTCGGCAATGAGACAAGACCTTAGTGCAAATTACACATACTAAAAATCCAATATCATTTGTATGCGTTACTATATTGTATAATTTGAAAAATCAACTATTAGCTCAAGTAAAAATCTAACATACAATCTTTCATATAATGTTTGTTTTTAACAAATGCACTTATTCAGATCACGTTTATAAATTGTTGTATTTCTCTATATTATAGTCATAATAATTGTCACATACTTTAACCATATTGTTGCTACATTATTCTTAATGGTCAACACAAGGTCATTTATTAAAAATAGGTTAATCAAAGCAAAGCATGGACAAAAATAATACTGTCATGTCTTTACTGTAAAACAAATGATTGCAGCTTTTAAAAATTTGATTATTTAAATTTTTTTATCATACAGTTGGTAATACAAAGTATTTTGAATCAAGAAACTGTAAATATGCTATTAGAATTTTTTCAATTTGTTTTACAGTTTTATGTGATACAATTTTTAATGAAAAATTATTTTAAGACTTGGTTTTTAAGTTCAACTTTTAAGTATAGAGTGAATATTTATAACAGTTTAAGTACCGTATTGAGCTTTTATAATCATTCACTGACAGCGTTATGTATAATATTTTACCGAAGAAAAATTTGTAATTATCTTCTTAATAATAAGTTAGAATTCTTTGATTAATTAAGTAAGCCGTTAATGCAATTAAATGGGTAAAGAATAGTAATAATAATGTATACTATATTTTCTTTACGTTTAATAAATTATCAAGCTCGAATAAAATATAAGTATGTAATGAGAAAATTATAAATACCCATGCAGATTAATTCTTATTGCACTTTACAATAATATGTAAATTAGCCGAAGACTTGCATTATTATTGGGTCAAATGAAATTAATCAACATCAGCATGCAAAAAATTATCATACAATTAAGTTTCCTGTAATTTAATTTGATTTTGTTAGTTGCAGTGCTTGCAGCAAATTGCAGTGTTACCAGTAGATTAAATAGCTATAAGTAGGTAATGCTTGAATGCTGTTTATTATTGTGCACTATAGTACATCAGAGTATAATGTAATGAAACGACTTACTGGCATCTTCTCCGGGACAAGTTTTACAACATTTTCCTGGCAATAAGGTCGGTTCATCGCAATTTGGTTTTGGACAATCGTTTTTTATATTACGACATTGCGTCCGACCGATTATTCGTCTCTTTTTTTGTACCTGACGGCAAGTAGAAAAAAAAAAAAACAAAAACAATTGTAAGTACCAAATTTATAACAGTCAGCTGCAATTGAAGCAAAACAGACTTCTTGTAAGATACGGATTCAGTAGTTGTGTTTAGTTTTCCCGAAAAATTATCTAACAGTATTTACACGATAACATAATGTAACACATTGTATTAATATTTTCATAACAAAGCAAACCATAAAAGTTTTTGGTATACAAACAATAACTAACAAATGTTTGTTGTAAATAAAAAACAGTAAAGGAGTGGTTTCCATATTTAAAAACACAAGTTTTTGAAATGTTTACTCCATAATAACACAATTCAATAGTATATTGCACAGAAAGAGAAAAAAAATTATATTATTAGATAAAAAGAACCAGTGAAGTTTTAGGGGGGTGATGTGGTACAATTGTCCCGAGCGACACATTGTTGTTTACAAACCACTACGGCAACAACTGTGGACAATCAAAAGATATGAGTACTTTTTATCAAATTTTGTGAAGATATTAAAATATTTTAATTGAATGTTATTTATTAAATAATATTCAATCCTTCGATTTTAGTATACAGATTGTAATATGAATTTTTTTTTTATGGAAGGGTAATAAGAAGCAGTATTTGACCTAGAGCGGCGATCTAAATACGTCCCCGAAAAGAACCCAACGGTAAATTCATCCTCGGATAAAGTTTCGTTAACTTTAAGTTTTAATATTTGAATTCTATGACGTTAGGAAAAATAATGTTCTTCACAGTCGCCGAAGTATGAACTGATAAGTATAAAAAATTGATGTGAAAAAACTCCTCACGCGATGTTTACACACATCGTGGCAACATGAAAAAATCTATATTTCGCCATTGTCATTTTTGTCTTGTGATATTTTTTTTAATCATTTCGTCGCTTCTAGTGAATCGATTTATAGTCACGTCGGTTTTTTGCCATAGTTATTCATGAGCAACGGCGGCTGGTTTTACATGGACGGCGGTAACCGATTGTTCTCGGCCGTGTACAATGGAATGTGTGAATCTGATTTCGATTGTTTTGATCAGCCAACACGCGACTGACAATTGAATACACGCACATATTGATCTGATATAAGAATTCTAGTGAACATCTCTGGTGTGTCCGTCGTCATCCTGCCGCCTACAGGCGACCACGTAGCCGGTCTCTTCCTTCAAATTCGCGAGCAGTTGATGTCATGTTTAAAATATACGGTAATTACACCCCATTAGCGCTTGTCCTTCACCCGACCCGACTTGGAATAGACGATGTAACTTTTGACAAACACGGTAAAAAAAGAACCAATGGAAACGAAGGGGTCTTGAATAAAAAAACTTCAATGGTGTTAATTCCTACTTAAAGTATAAAAAATGTATTCAATTAAAATGACTTGCCTGTACGCATTCGCACTTGATACAGTACATGATACCAAAAGGTGGCCCCAAGTCGGCGTACCACGTCGACCCAATCTCTTTGAGCTGCTTGCCGAACTGGCATTCTGCAACACAAAAACATACAATTTCACCCATTAGAGCGCACTAGTCTTAATAACAACCGTTCTAATCAACTACTGAGTTTCATTGGCTAATTAAATCATTTTAAAACTGATGTTTTTTTTATAAAAACGTTACAATAAAATAATTGACAGCGAGACGACTAAAAAGTTATTAGCTTATGATTTAAGTTTAGTGTAAAATATTCAACAGTTTCATTTTTTTTTAACTTAAAATTATTGCTTATTTAGTGTAATATGAAAATACATTTAATTCTTGAATCGACTGAATGTATAGTACCAAATTGTTTTAGTCTCCAAATTAAGTTATTGCATTATATTTATTAATAAATTTATTCGATTAACTTATAATAACAAGTATATTTTCAAATTGACGCAAAAGTAACGACAGTAAAATATTATTTACTATGTGAAATGATTTAGCGAATATGTAAATAAATTTGCATCAAAAGCATGAGAGTACTTGACGATAAACGGATTAATGAATCATCGACTGGTAATTATCACTTTAATGCGAGATATAACTAAATTGTACTTATAAAACCTGTATGATAAATATTGAGAGTTCAAAAGTAATATTTAAGTATAAATAAACATCGAGAGCACTAGTAAAAAACTATTTTCTATCATTTTTGCAAGTACTGTTTTATTAAGAACTTTCTTTTAGTAATTTATACAGTGATTTTCTCAATCGAACTGCCATTTCTGGCTCAGTCACTTATAAATTCTACTAAGTATCGTGTTAAACGATTGCCGTTCCTTCGAAAATATTGATTTACAATTGAAAAAAGCAAATGTAGAATTACGCGGGACAATTTTTTATCATCAACGACAAAAATTAACATAAAAAAACGTTTTCTTTTCAAACTAATCGACGATTATTATTATTATTTTTTTTAATTTATTTAATCATTCATGATTATTATCTTAATGTTTTGTTCTCATTGTTTGAATCGCGGCAATGCAACGATGTGAAACAGATTGGCGCCGGGTTACCGCCAACCATCAGATTTATTCGCAATTTTTTATACTCGCGACCATTACATTTATTGTTACCGGTTTGTTATATCGTATTTTATTTATTACTAGAAGCGTAAAAAAGTATAGAAATTTTAGCGACACACGTGTCGAGATAACATAAAAACAGTCGGGGAAAATAAAATTGTAATCAATGTAAGGGAATCTCAGCTCTTCGATGTCACAAAAAGAGTTGCTAAACGTTGCAATTTAATAATTTTTTTCTGTGTTTTTCAAGCGAATTCAAATATTTTTTGGCAATACCTTCGGATGTGTACTGCGTGTGATACTAAAGAAGAGACTGATATAAAACGAACAGAGAATTTAAAGAAACTACCAGTGCACAAATGACGTCAAAGATAACCGTCCTCATAATTCTGTTAAACAATTGAAATGAGAAATTCACGAGCTACCCAAAGTTGGAAATAACGTAATATTGGTTTTTTACTATTCAAGTTAAAACAATCATTTGGAGGAAATTAAATTGATGGGAATTAAATCATTGTCTTTTAACTTATTTACAGATTATAAGCATTAACATTTTATTAAGTTATTTAAAATTAACAAGGGTAAGTATTAGTTTTTGATGACTGTCCACAATGAACTGACATTTTTTTCAGACGGTTGATTTTACCCAAACAATAAAATACAAGTGTTATATTTCTGAAAGGATATTAAGGACATATATTGTTTATACACAATAAATGACCGCTAAACTATCATGAGTCTAATAACTTAATCATGATTGCTGAACGAAATACTAAAAAATATAGAAATGATGTACGCCTCACACACAACAGCAGTCTGGTCTCAAAATAATTAAAAAAAAAAAAAACATTTTAAAACTAAATAGGAGTCTTCAGACTTGTTAAAAAAATAATAATAATAACAAAATTAATCGCAACGAATTCACGTCCTAGAAACGCCATTTGACGACTGGTTAATGTCGTTAGAAAAAAAAATATATACATATTTAAATTTTTAGCGGTCAATGTTTACACGAATAATTAATTTTGAGAGCGTTGTTCGATGACTCGTGCCAAAAAACAAAAAAAAAAAATTAAAGATAAATAAAAGACACCTCGTTAAATTTATTTCAAACGACATTGGAAAGAATCGTTCTATTTTTTTAATACACTCGCTGCAATAATTTTGATTTAGTGCACATGCGCTGTTTTAAATAAACTCAATCAAAGATTAGTGTCAAAAAGTTGATGAATTAGGTTCCAATATTGCCGATTTCTCGGAAAAAATATTAATGAAGGTTAACACACAGCAATCATTTTTTGCACAAGCTTATTTTCCTAGGAAATATTTTTGTCATCGTTGCTGAACACAGTCGGTAGACGACAGCTGAATTCCCCGTGTAAGTACATCGCCCGTGTCCTATTATAATATGATGAATGAGAATTATAATAATCCATGTGCTTATAGTTGTAAAGTGAGCCCCCTCTCTTAGTTCCCAAGTCGTTGTCCAGTAAGACTGGTCTTTAGTCTGGCACTATTGCGGCGATGATTACTTAGCAATTTACTACACTGTAATAAGTAATTATTATAAAAAGGTACTGCAGATGTAATATAATCTTTCCTCGTTTCGTTGACTGGTGTGGTAAGTTTTGTTATTAATTTATTTAAGAGTGCTCCTGAAGGACAATAATGATTTCATTACTCAATTGTTAACTTCTTGAATGCAAAACGATGCTTTTAAGTTAACCGCTACACTACTAAGCGCCGTCCAACAATATTTGACAGTTTTTTTGGCGCCAAGCGTCAGACTTAGCTAATCCGGCAAAAAATTACATTATAATGATCTGTTCTATACAAAGTTACCATAAGACATAATTCTGTCGGACTTGCAGAATTAAATGGTGGCAATAAACAAATATGGAACAGACAAGATTAAGTCAGTATTTACATAAATCTAGAATATTTTTTCATATAAAAATGTATACATAATTTTTTTTAATATTTTATTTTTAAATACATTTTGAACAAATTTTATTAAAAACCAAGCTAGGTTTTTCATATACTATTCTTTCCTAGAGTCATATGTATCTTTAAACTCTATGATTGATTGAGTGGCTTAACATAAAAGATGTTGTACGACTTTTTGGTACCTACCTAATGTAATGACATTTGTCTGTAACCCGCCAAGAAAAATCTCAGCATTAAGTGAAAAATATTTATGAAGTTGATTTAAACGCACTTTTATGATGACGAGTACCTTGTAGAGAATAGCACAACTTAAGGGTAATGCATAACATACACTTAAAAGCTAAAATCCAGTATCAATCCATCATGTGAAACTAAAGGCTATTAACGGTCACGTCAATACGATTTCATGGCACATGTTTATTCTTTTTAATAATTTAACGACACGCTATAACGATTTGTGTTTAGAGGTGTTATTATTTCAACACAATGACTTAATAGCACAAGTATGTAATTTACTATAAACGTGTTCGTGTTAAGATATAAATACTATTCATAATCATTTCTTTCGTATTGGCAAGCGAAAATACATATACTTTTATTTCCCTGGAGTTATTTCTCACACGACCAACAAACAATAAGTCGAGTTTAACGAGTTCGAGAAAACGTGGTCTCTAGTATTTTAAAGTGATGATAATCGAATATAAGTTTATATTATCAGGTCAAAACAACAATTGATAGTTGAAATGAAACATTTGATTTGATTCAAATAATCAATTTTTCAAATTTATTCAACTAGACAAATTGGCGATATGAAATCGGAAAAACTAGTAAATATACAAATATTTAGATGAATAAATGACCGATGTCACTAAATGTTTTTTAACGAAAATTCATGGAAGAATTATTCTAAAAAATGAAGTTACCATGTACAATTTGTTTATTAGAGATAATTGTATTAAAATAATATTAAAGGAGAAACCGGTACAAGGTTTACCAACTAATATATTATATTTTAAATAAACGTATTTTGCCAGTCAAAAAACGCGAGAAGCATTTTATAATTTGTCATTATACCTCGTATATGTATATCTTTGCTAATATGTAATATCGGGCCTACTAATACACATATTTTAAAGGACAATATTAAATTTTTTTAAATCTAAAAAATCACATACATATTTCTGAGTTTTAAGGGGGGTAAATTCGAATTAGAATCTAATATCGAATTAGAAATTATTTTTTTGTTAAAATTTGATGTAAATATCACTCGTATCAGAATTACTGATATTAGAAAATGACTAATAATGTATGCATATTAAAAAAAAAAAGTTTCAATTAAATAAATAAATATATCATTTAATTGAACCTTGGAAGTAATCATACAAATTATATATGACTTATTTTAGTTTGAAAAATATTTCCAGTGCCATTCAATAACGGCAAATCCTTGTAAACAAGTAGAGTTGATGGGCATCACAAAAATGTCTTTAATGAGAAAGAAAGCAATTGGTCCGTTGAAAATTCCAATTTTCTCACGTTTTCTAATGCTAACCGGACGTTGGTAGCTAACAATAAATGAAATACGTGGAGCTATAAGATAAAAATTGTGTATACTCATCAAGATATTTTCTGAAATAGTATACGACCAAGAATAAAAACACAACAGAATTAAAGAATATTTCTTTTAACCATTCCTTTATTACCATAGGTAATAAATAATAATGTGTATAATATAAACAGTGACACATTTAACGTCAAATATATTTGACGTTAAATATTGTCAGAGACTTGAAGTTAAGCCCCTAACAAAAAATAATCTATTACGGTAGTACTATTGTATAGCTGAATAATTCATTCCTAAATCACGTAAAATGTTTGTTAAAAAAATAATAAAAATCTGTTGTGGCTGCTAAGAAAAAAAGCGTTTTTATGAACGACGATTGGGAACATTTTTATTGTTGCGAGGAGTTTTTTACCTGTCACCCTGTTCGGTTTTTTCGGCACTGCGTTCTCTTCGAGCAGTGGCGATTTTTTACGGGCGGCCAACCCGGAGCCCATAATTGTGGCCAGCAAACAAAACGCGACCACTGGCCATTTGAAAGCCATCGCCACCGTTCTGGCGTGCGCTCAGTACTTCTATCCAAACACGTGTGTCGTTATCAGACCGGTATTTTACGTACCGCCCGTGATAACCGATGGCTGACGAGGAGCGGACATGGCGCACTTTACATAAAAATCGACTATAGAAATTAGGCGATATGTTCGAGGAGAATTGTGGTGATGGTGAGCACTACGCGAAAACGCAAAAGAGTGCGATGATAATATTATTATTGTTGTTGTCGTCGAGCGTGAATCGCGATAATGACCGAGCGGAGAGACGATGCTGGCGGTCGATGAGCACGTGCTAACGGACCGCGTTGCGACGGCGTACTGGTTACTGGCGGTAGTGGCCGTCGCTCGTAGTACGTTTGTGTGTACACTCGTACATATATATGCACCGGCTGACGGGTGTAGACGGCTGCGCGGGGCTATTTATTTCTACCCGCCGCCGCCGCATCGACGGTCCGTCATTCAGGCGGTGAGAAAAACGTGGGCCGCGGGTTTTGACGCCGGCGAGACCGACAACGGCGTCAGCGGGCCGACGGCGGGTTACTTGAACGCCATATAGACACACTAATATTGTTATTGTATTAGTATAATATGTTTTACTGGCGGCGTTTAATTATGACCGGACAATAACGTGCACGTGCCTAAGAGGGTACACGATGGCTCCATCCTCGTGATTCGGCTGTGACGCGCTCGTCAAAGTCTGAGCGAGGCGGTCATAAGTTTGCGCCCGCCCCTCGACGACCAAGGGATGGGCCGGGGTGTCTAAAGGGCTGACGCTCGAACCCTCCAATGGCGTTCTCGGCGGAAGGGAGAGTGCGTTCAACACGCGCATACTTTCTGTTGTTTTTTTTTTCTATTTTAATTATTATTGAAAGTGAATCTTTTAATTGCCGTTGTTTGATCGCTATACTATATTTTTGGCACATCTCCGAGTCGGGTGAAAGAAGTTTTCCAACGCCAACTCATTGTTGCAACAATATTATATTTAATTTTCCTTTTGCTAAAAATATGCGGTCAATCTATCAAAACAATTAAAATGATAAAGCAAATTATATTACCATCATAGTCATTATGTTATTGCACACAATAACTTTTGAAAGACAAATTCCGAAGAATGTTCAGCGACAAGTAAGTGCACAGGACTTGTATTGTATTAGGTACCTACGAGAAATATCAATTTTAATTTTAGTGGTTTCGCATTATCATTAACAAAGGAATTTTAATTTGGCACACGCTGAAACTATGTGACAAAAATAATCTAAACATTTTGTGCTGTACGCTGAAATTTAATATTTTTATTTAATATAAAGCACCTCGGTTAAAAAAAAGCAATTCATCTAAGCTGACCATATTAGAATAACACCGTGTACTAGTATAAATATGAAATGTGATTGTCTTTGATAAAACATTCGTTTGGGACAACACAATAAATAAATTTAGAATAAGTGGGTATATTAGATATTTTAAATCATAAAGACAATAGATATACTGCACTGTGTATATGTGTAAAGTATGAAAGAATATCACTGAAGGCGTGTAGGTATACAGGTAAATTATGTTTCCGGATGTTATAAGATTAGGTCCCCGTCAAAATGGATTTAATCCCAAAGGAAATGAAAAAAACCAATTTATTATATGTTAGTACAAAACGTAATATAATAAGATAATACAAGAAACTAAAACTAAATATGTATTATTACTTATATACATATTATTACATATATTGTTTATAAATATTAGATTATATTATTAAAATATGTAAATTTTTAGAAAAATTCTTCCTACATTAAAATAAAATTTCCATACCAACTCAACTAAACCTATTCTAAAAAAAAATGCCCCTAAAAATGAACTATAAATAACACAAGTGGATATATGGATATATGATTTTTGAGTTCTAACCCCATAAAACATAAGGAAAATTACACTATTCAAATACAATGTGGGTAAGGAAAATTTAATTTATGTAATTCCCTCCAGAACAAAATGTCAGTTACTCCTTTGCTAACATAACATTAGATTTCATTTTATTTACTTGTAAAAGTAGTTTTTAATATGACTATAATTGTTATTCATTATTGATACAACAAATTATTAATATTATGCAATATGTAGTTTTACCAGATAAAAATATATAATTAATGTAGAATTTTAAGATTTCTGTGAAAATGAAATGTTTTTTTAAAAAAATAGTGTAGATATTTTCTAATAAAAATCTACTACCGTAAAAAAATAATTTTGAGGATAATTTTAATGAAATATAAACACTTAAATTCATAAACCAGTACTTGCATAATGGAAGATAAATATATATACTTTATTTAAATAGTAGAAAAAATTAATTTGTCTATAATTACGAAATAATATATTGACGCAACTATGACGCATGTCACAATAATATTACACACTCGGTCTTTTTTTTTAATTTTGAGCAATTAAAATAATGCATAAACCTGGGTAAATCCTTAGTAATAAAACCACTTTGAATAAAATTACAATTATAAAATTAAAAATAATATATACAGCGTGTCAAGTATATATTCGGTCGTGTAGAAAAAATAATTGCCATCGCCTTACAGACCTTTAAGTATAGTTAAATCACTCGTACGAACAGTTGTTCAATGGCGATGACCATTTTATTCGAAACGATGTCCGAATTTTACTTGACTCACTGTAAATATGATTATAATGATGTAACAAAACAATATTCCCATGAGAATTTTCAACGCAATGACAATATTCTTCTGTATATTATTACCGGAGAATATATTAAAAAAGAAAAGAGAACTTAATAGTTTCTTTGAAAATTATACATTAAACTTCAATTGCAAAATTGAATATTTATTGAAAACTTTTGACGGGAAAAAAGTCATTTTTGATTTGGTCGATATTGTTCTCATTGTAATAAAAACATGTTTGTTTTACACAGACTAACTAATCCCCCAAAAAAGTGCTTTAGTATAGGTACAATTGAGATATATATATTTTAAACATATAACTATCGTAAAATGGGTTCAAGTTTGCCGTCAAGAATAAATTTGGCTATTTCTGAATTTAACCCTAAAGCGTTTGTAAAAGTAAAATATCTTTTTCTTCTTCTTCCTGGCCTTAATCCCAAGTACTTGGGGTCGGCCACTCTTATCCTAAACTTCTACTTGACACGATCTCCCACATCAGCTGTCCTCATAACGCATTCAATAGCATCCCTCCATCTCTTTTTCGGTCTTCGTCTACCTCTTCTTCATTCAACATTCAATTTTCAACATTTGTAAACGTAAAATATAAAATAAAATAATTGATTAACTTTTATTCGAAGAAGACTCCAATTTCTTTTGATCTCGTTATCTGAAGCTTAAGACATAAATTTGATAAAAGCTCATTATATATGTATATGTATGTGGTCACCTCCGGCAGAAATGTAAAATGCAATAAAAATAGTTAAAAAGAATTTGCTCGACTTCGACTTTCAAGAATATTTCTGAGAATATTTTCAAAAAAAGTTATTATGGTAATTATACATCACTATATATTTATAAATTTGAAAATTATATACTATATAATTTGATAATGTTGATGCAAATGCATGTGAAACTATGCAGATTATTAATAAATTACTATGATTTGTGGTTCAAAACCCTGTACTCGTTTCAGACAAACGTTCAGTGTAGTGAAACCTATGTAAGCCAAAAATGTTAGCTGCAAGTGAAATAGTGGAGAATATAAACATTTTTTTTTATAAATAAAACTTGAATGAAGCCAAGTGTGAAACGTTTGTATTATTCTTACAGTATTGTTTTGGATCGCTATTATTTGTGAGATAAAAACTGTTCAACCACACAATCTGCAAGACGGTTGTTAGAGACAAGTGCATCGACTACGCGCCATGATATTTCAAGGCGCCAATGCTTTTAAAACCAACAGAATACATAAGTCTTTATGTCTTGATACTCAAACATACACACTTCAAATAATATGATACGGTTTTATTATTCTATTATTAATCGCTACCGAGCAACCGAATTAAAACAAATATTTGCTAAACAAAATTAACAACAACTACAATTTCATCACATCACGCCCACCTATGAGAATACAGTGATGAGACATGGCGAAGATGTTTATATGCATTATCTGGGTTATGTATTCAGTAAAATTAATACAAAAACTGCGATGCACATATTCAACGGTATTTATTTATAGGTTAAAAAATTGAAGCACACTTCGTACGCGTTGTATATGAATCAGGGTCGTAACAAGGACGCATCGGATGGAGCTCGATAGGTGTATGGATTTTGTAAAAGTGCGATCCTAGAAGGATTAATGCCATCTTTTTAGTCGATATGTTGTAATGAAAAAGTATCAACTAAAAATTGACATGACGTAATAATAATTTTTGTATAAAATATTTTACATTAGATAATTTGTTAATGATGTAAATAGGTGTCAGTTTTTTGAAAAATGTACACAAGTGTTTTATACTTTGTCATTTGAAGTATAAAAGGCACTGAATATTATAATATATTTTTGTTAAAGTATTTAATTGTAAAGTGTGATTTAAATGTGATTTATCTTTAGCTAATATAATAAAAAATGAATATTGCGTATGTCGTTGTTTTGTTATCAGAATGCATTTATCATTTATGGGCAGCTGATTTATCATTATTGTGTTCAAACTGGTTGCTGGTAAAACACGAACCCATGCCAAGGAATACTTATCATCTGTCGACTAATGAAAACGATTACGTTTCCCTTGAAGAAATGGTCAAAAATATGAAAACCGAAAAAGCCATTGTATGTTATATAGAGGCAATGTCAGTTAGATCGTATAAGTATTTGCTTTTGCTAACGTATTATAGTAGATTGCTATTATCTAACGAGAAAAAAGACCTAAAGCATATTGTTTTAAGTCATTTGAAATCCGCTATAAAATATATTGATAGTTTTATGGAAGCTCATGAAGTATCTTTGGACAATTGGGACTTAATCATAACAAAACATTATAAAAATGGCGTAACGGGTATTCTTGAAGACCTATCTTTTTTTATCAGTGAAGATTTCTTAGATAAATTTTTATGGAACAGATATACTCTAATTGTCTCAAAGGCTTGCGACTGGAAAATATTATCAACTGTAGTAGGCGATAAGCTTATAGCAAGTGGGTACTATCCTCCAAACTCCCAAGAACCCTCAGACGAAATTCACTTGGAAGTACTAAAAATACTAAGTGAAAGCATAAAATATGAATTCATGGAAGACACATTTCTAGAAAAAACGTTCAAATGGTTAAATAATTTCCTAAGATTATAAATATAATTCATAAATTAGGTTATTTCAATTATTGTATTC